TAATGATATTCATCATTGGAAATTTGCACCTTTACATAATCTCTCTTGGTTCCCATCTTTCACCCTTGCCCAGTCCTCCCTTCAACCCCTCCATTCCTCCCTATTTACAAAGATTTTGTTCCTATTTTTCCATTTTCTCATATTCCATTCCCTTCTTTCCCCTACCGCTCCCACCTCCTTCCCCTTTGCCCCTTTAAATCCCATTTCACATTACCTATCATACATTTTAGTCCCCATTTACACTTTCAGTTTCTCACACCAGAGAAACTGTTCGGTATTTATATATATGTGTCCTATTTATTTCACTTAAGAGTATCGCCTCAATGTGCATCCATTTTATTGCTTAGGTTTTAGAAAATGGTATGTTTGTGAATGCTTTTTTTGAGCCTTTTTCATGATATATGAAATCATTAGAGCTTATATTTTTAGAAATAAATAATTTTATTGTGTGAATTAATTACTTTTTATCTCTTTTTAAATTAGTTGAAGACAAGAGTGAATGTGTAAAACATACTTCTGGAAATAACTTAATTTCACCGGATACAGATTACAGAGCCGGTTCTTCATTTGAACTGTCTCCATCCGATAGCTCTGATGGGACATACATGTGGGACGAAGAGGGCTTGGAACCCATTGGAAATGTCCACCCCATTGGCAGCTATGAGTCCTCTGAAATGAACAGCATAGTATGTATGGATCTATATACCCTTTTGGAATAGTTTGTTTACCTTACTATAAAAAGACTTACGATGTTGTATTTATTTTTAATTTATGAATACTCTTTCCTAGTTTGAAAAATAATTCATGTCTGTTAAGGGCCTGTAAAGCAAGCACATAGTACAGCATGGAGAATATCTGACATTGGACTTTAGTATACTCATACACGAATACATGTGTGTTCATCAGACATATACTTACTGTACATACTATATTGGTCAGGTTAAGCGAGGCCAGTGGTTCTTGAGGTGGAGCAGGACAGTGTATAGAAACAGTTTTGATTGTAATGTTAAGGAATGTCACTTGGTGGGTAGAGACCAGGGATACTGCTTATTATCTCCCAGTGCACAAAGTAGTACCCATGACAGAGAATTATCCAGCCTAAGATGGCAGTAGTGCTGCTCTTGAGAAACCCTAGGCTGGGCTATGTTGAGGGGCCGTTCAGGCACCACCTCTTGACTGGCTTAACACTGCAAAAGTTTTGTTGTTAGGAAGCCTACTGCAGGTTTGGACAGCTCTCTAGGGCAGTTGTCTTTAGTGACTGACGCTGCTTCACACTTGCATCTCCACCTTTTTTGAGGCCCCTTGTCACTGGCCAAGGGAGAGCTGGAAAGTCTCACTCATACAGTTACTTGCTTTAGCCTGCAGATGGCACCTGGCACTCTCACTTACAACCTGTTGACCAGCACTAATCATAGGTCCCACATAAATATTAAGAGGACAGGAAATGTTATTTTCCTGTGTCCTGAAAGGTGAAGGAACTAGGTATGTGAGTATGCTGGAAGACCTACCATGCATTTTATATGAGCATATTTTAGGAAACCTAAATAATATGGATAAATAAACCATATGGATAAAATGTAGCTGTTGTGTTTAAAAATGGCTCATCACAATTATTTTTATATAAAATATGATTTTAGAGAAAAGTCAAGCTAGCAATCTTTGTGGATAAATTAACAATCCAAGTGGATTTTAGGCAGTGTCATTTTCTTTATTCATACAAACCCGTGGTTTGTAAAAAACAGACATTGTTACCGTGGGCTTTTTAAGTTGTGTAAGTATAGAGGGAACACACATTTTAATTTAGAGAAAGTATCTCTACCTCATTAGATAACAAAGGAAAGATTGCAGATTAGGGCCTTGTGTTTTTTCTTTCTAGTACTTTTTAGAGTACGGTACTGTATGATTGAAGGGCACATGAACATAATGTCCAGCAGATGGCAGCAATGAGCCATGTAGTGTCTGATGGTTTCAAGAAGTTAACCTTCAATCCTCTGTCCCATAAGTAATGTCTGATTTAACCGAAAAAGAACTTTAGCATGTTCTCACTTTTCTTCATTTTGACAGCAGTGCTTATCCCAGTCTGGGTCAAGAAAAGGTGCTTTCACTAGAATATGTGTTAACTGTATTACTGTAATACATTTTAGTTTGGTTGACTGGCTCATCTGTTCTCATAGTAAAGAGTTTCTCCTGTGAGGGCACAGTGCATTGATAACCATTCTGGTGCAACCCCTATCCTGTCATGGACCCCAACAAATAGTTTGTAAACCGAGTACTTTCCGTAACACTGGTCTCAAATTCTGTTTGTTTTGTTGTTTAAATGCTGACAGAATTTTGCTGAGGTATAATTTATATACAGTCAAATACACACATCTGCAAACAGCTCAGAAGATTTTGACAAACATATATACTTGTTTGGCAGTTATGCAGATTAAGATATACAGAGGATGTTCCTTTTCTGTTTCTTTTGGTCATGCTTTTAGCAGCACAGAGAGATGCAACCACTATTGATTGATTTCTGGCCCTAGCAGATTAGTTTCCTATGCTTGAACTCTACAAATGGAACTATAAAGCATGTACTGCTTAATGTCTGGCTTCTTTTAGCTTCTAATGTTAGGTATTTGTCAGTTGTAGTTTGTTCATTCCTCTTGTGTCATATTTCTTTTTGGGAATAGAGTACTTATTTTATCCCATTGTTAGTTTTAGTTAACATTTAGTTTAGTTTAGTTAGCATTTAGTTTGTTTCCAGTTATTGGCTGTTAGAGAATTACATTGTTTATCTTGCTGCATATTTTCTGGTGAACAAGTATTATTTCTGTTAGTAAGACATGTAGGAGAAGGATCCTTTGGTTATAGGATATGCTTGTGTATACAGGTCGTTTTTCAAAGTGATCCTATTGACAGCTCCCCCCACTGGCAGTAAATGAATATATCTGTTATCTGTCTTTACAGGTTTGTTGTAGTGAGGGTGCAGTAGTATGGTGTTGAGACTTTTGTTTTGTTTCCCTTGGTAACTACTCATTGAGCACTTTCACAAATATTTGTTGGCCGTTAGGGTATCTTCTTCTGTGAAATGCCTTCTGTTGGCTATCTATATTTTTTCTTACTGATTTGTAAAAACTCTTTAGTTTGGATCTAAATCTTTTACATATGTAAGTACATAATATATGTATTTAAAAATATTTATGTGTATAATACATTTTCTACTCTAGGTTGCCTTTTAAATTTCCTAGTATCTGTTGATGATAAGACAACAATTTTAATATTGTTCATTTTACCATTTTTTCCCTTATTATCACTTTTTAAAACTGTAAAATCTTTGCCTACCTTAAAGTCATAAAGATGTGTTCCTGTGTTTTCTGCTAAAGACTTTATTTATTGGTTTATATTTCACCTTTCTACAGTTCACCTGGAAATTACTTTTGTATATGGTATATGACAGAGGTTAAAGTTAAATTTTGTGGGTGTCATCTTTCCTCATTCTAAGACAGGGTCATCTTTGTCATAAATCAGTGACTAAACACAGAAATATTTTTTGATTCTCTTTTAGTTCATTGGTCTACTTGTCTAATCTCCTGACCATACTACATAGTTTTAATTATTGTAGCTTTAAAAGTTTTGATATCTGGTAGTGTGAGTCTTCCATCTTTGTTTTTTTCCAAGATTGTCCTAGCTCTTCTTAGCTTTTTATATTTCCTTTTGAGTATAAGGATGGACTTAATTTCTGTAAAGGCCCTGGAGTAATTTTGAAAGGGATTGCATTGAATTTATGAGATCAGCTTGGAGAGAGTTGATGTATTTGTGGTATTTTTCTAATCATATTCCTCCATTTGTTTGGACTTCAGCAGTATTTCTTGCTAATGTTTTATACTTTTCTGTAAAATGTTACACATATTTTAGATCTTTGATTTTGTTACTATAAATGATCCCACTTTAAAATATTTTCAAAATTTTGTTGATGTTCATTTATTGTAATAATTGGCTTGTGAATGTTTTTGGAATTTCCATGTATACCATATAATCATACCATTTGTACCCCCCCTTCCCATGTTAGGATAATACATAATATTGATAGAATTACAGAAGAAATATTTTGTTGTTTATCATTAAAGGTTTTTTTGGGGAGGAACGAGTATTATCAGGCTATGGAAGTTCCGTTTTATTTTGTTTGCTGAATTTTTTTGTGGATTATATTACTGTTTACCAAATGCCTACTTCTTGTGATATAATTGAATCATTTTTTTCCCCCATTGGTTTGGTGGATTGCATTGCTTTATTTTCAGATATTAAACTACCTTTCCTTTGCTGGAATACATTCTCTTGGTTGTGATTGTATTATTCCTTTTAATGTTGTTAGATAACTATGTTTCCTTGTATTTTATTTATGTCTTGTGTACTTAATGCTCATGAGTAAAATTATTCTGCTTTGTGATTTCTTCTTTATTTTTGTTATATTTGGTATCAAGTTTCTGCTGTGTAATGAGTCAACAATGTTCTCTGTTTTTATTTTTTTTTTGGTACTAGAGATCAAACTCGGGACCTTGCGCTTGCGAGACAGGTGGTAGAACCACTGAGCTAAATCCCTGGCCCTCTGTCTTTATTTTTTTATTTTTTATTTTTTTTCCTCTGTCTTTATTTTTGAAAGAGTTTGTATGCAATTGTTAACATCTTTTTTCGTAAGTGTTTAAAAGAATTCACCAGAATTCAAGCTTCTGGGACTGGAGTTTTCTTGGTGAGAAGGTTTAAGATATTGGCCCATTTAAAAAATATACATATTCTTGTGTGGCTTTTGAAAATTTTATCTAAATTTGTCATTTGTTGGTGAAAGTTTTTCAGAATTTTTTTAAACATCTTACAGCCTTATCATGATGCCCACATTTTCATTCCTGTTGCTGTGATTGGATTTCCCTCATCTGTCTTCAGAGTTAGCAGTGGTAGGTTGAATCCTGTATCATTAGGGTCTTCCTTCTGTCTCCCTCTTTCTCCAAAGGACCAGTATAACTGTATTGGGCCCATCTAGATATTGCAGTATACTATCCCTATTTTAAGGTCAGCTGATTAGCACTTTACCTTACTTTTCTTTGCAATGTAATCTAACATCATAATTCCAGGGATTAAAATGTGGACAGTATTGAGGGGGCATTTATTCTGCCTAACACAACTGGAGATAACACTTTTCAAATTTTTAAAAGATAATACTGTTATTAATTATAGTAATTATTTTTTGAGATCAACATGTGTGGCTCTAATAAGCTGTAGATTTGATTTAAAAATAAAATAGTAAATTGTAAGCACAATTCAGTCAAACTCAGTTTAAATTAATCTAAACTGGTGGCATGATTATTCATGTGTCTTTCACTAGTGATTTGTAGTGCTATAGCTTATCATAGATTTTATATGGAGACCTTAAAATATTTTTGTGCTATTAATGTATTATTAATACTCTTGATGTCTTATAATATTTGGACATAATTAGTAGTCATCTATGCATATGAGTATGTGGGGATTCACATTTTCTGTAAATTAACATGGGGTTTAAGGATGACTCCTTTTGGAGAATGATAGTTAAGAGCTAAAAAGATAATGGGAAATATTGTTCTTTTCATATTTTAGATTTTTTCCCCGTTTTTAAAAATGCATGGTATAGTGAATACAATTTGTGATATTTTCATCTCTTTTATTTCCTAGT